AAAAAAAAGAAAAAAAAAAAAAAGGTAGCATTTTGTGTACTAATGCCACAAATAAACATTCTAAAAAAGATTCAAAATTTCAAAGAAGAGGTACTTGTAGACCTGGATGCCAAGCAGCCTCACAAAAACATTTTAAAGGACTCTTGTGTAATCATTATTGAGGAATTTCAGTGCCGTACAAAATCTAATTGGAGGTGGGTGGGTTTGAGACAGGGTCTGGCTATGCAGTTCAGGCTGGTCCTGAACTCACTATGTAGCGCGGGCTGGCACTGAACTTGCAGCAGTCTTCCTGCCTCAGCCTCCTGAGTGCGGGGATTACAGGTGTGCACCATCACGCCTGGCCAAAATCCAATTTAAAAAAATTTACAAGTTTTAAAAATTCATTTCATAAAGGCTTTAAAAAAAACATTCTCCTTCTCTGGAGGGAGGAAAATGCTCTTTTTAAACCTTTGTATTTTTTAAAGTGTAAAAGTAACCCATGTTCATAGCAAAATCAGAATTCATGTGCAACATAAAGCAAAAAGGAATCCTATGCTTACTCTATTCCCAATACAATGTTACTTTTTTTTTGTAGTTCTTATGAGAAAAAGAACTTTTTTTAAAACACAGCAGAGGGTTGCACAAGTATGTTAAAGCTACGCAGATCTGTTAGGCAGTGTACTTTTCTTCATGGATATTTTAATGAAAGGTTAAAAAGCAGAGCTAGAGGATAAGCAAAGTAATCTGAAACTCCAAAGAGCAGCAAATTTCTGATCTATAAGATGTGCTAAACTTTAGAAAGACCAAAGGATGAATCTTCTATGAACCAGTTACAACTACTGTCAAAACAAGCATCTTCCAGAGAAACAAGTGTGGAAAAGGTATCCAATGGCACTACACATATTGCCAGGAAAGGCTAGAAATATTGCTGCATTAACAGTTTCTAGAACAAAGGCCTTTTTAGTACCTAAGGGAAAATTACCTACCTATTTTATATAATGGAAATGCTTTCTTCTAATAGTTATGGGTTCAAATTTCAAAACCTATCTGCCTAAATTGATTCTATTTCTGGGAAGAAAAAAAAAGAAACAAAAAACAACTCCACTTGACAACTATTCCACAAAAAAATAAAGCTGGAAGATTTTTTTCTTTAGATGTGGTCTATTAAAGATGACAAAAACCATTTTTTTTTTGTCTTCCTGTGGGAGCAAAGGGAAAAAAGACTTTCTCCAACATGTTTTGTGTCCCTGCCCACAATCACTTCCTTTTCACTCCCCTGAACTTTAAATCTGTGTTTAGAATATTTATTTCTGGCCAGCAGTGCCCAAAATGCTATGCTATTCTTAGGGGGCTGTATTTAAAAGTCAGTGTTAAGAGTCTATTCTAGGGTAAAATAGGTGGTTATATTAATTTGGAGAGACGTTTGAAAAACCTACGTTGTTGCACTCATAGCTGGTTCTCATCATTTTGGAGGAGTATGTGCCCTCCTATGGGCTCTGCCTGGGGAAGAAATGGTGAGGGGATATGAGCTGCTGAAGAGCAGAATAAGGGGGATAATTACCACTTGCTGTCACTTCCTCATGACCTGATCATCTCAAACCTCTGAGCTGTGGCTACCCTGCGGTGACTGTCAAACCTCCTCACTGGGATACTGCAGCTGCATGAAGCATTACTCAGTGCTGACATGGGCCCCCAGCCACTTCCTGCAGAAAGCCCTGGCTTCCCATTCACACCCATTCCTCTCACTCCATAAGCACTGAGCAAATATCCTAGTGCCAGTACCAAAATATGAACCTAACAGAGAGTGTACAGTTGGTGTTCAACACATAGGTCATTCTTTAATTAGCCACGGTATATCTGGGCTCACAGAGACTCTGCACTGTTCTGCCAACCAGCACCTTTCAGAGGTCATGTTAAAAAGAACACATCAGTGGAGCGTGGTGGTCTATGTCTTGAGGCTGAGGCAGAAGGGAGTTGAAGGCCAACCTGGGGTACGTAGTAAGTTCAAGGCCAGCCTTGAACTACATAGTAAGAACCTGTCTCAAAATAAAACAAAAGAAGGATATAAGGAAGGAGCCATCAAAGGCATTTACAACTGCCTGGTGATTCAGATGTAGCATTTGACCTAAGCCTAAAAGAGACTGGCACTACCAGAATCCCTTTGCAGGCCATCATTGCATAGTACTTGAAAGCACTTCCCACAACAAAAGCAGAACCAGTTTCAGCGCAGAGCCCGCACCCCAGCCTTGCTTTCTGCAGAGGATCTGAGGTGTTAAACACATATGGGCTTTATGCATTTCTTCCAGGAGGTGATGGAGGTAAGGTGTAGCTGTGGAGCCACCATTTAAGAGAAGATGCGTCTGAGCTGGGTGCAGTGGGACACACCTGTAATCCCACTAAGAGGCTGAGGTAGAAAAATCACAAATTTAAGACCTGCCTGGGGAACTTGGTGAGACCCTGTTTCAAAATATAAAAAGAGCTGGACATGTAGCTCACTGGTAAGCCACTCATGAGTTCAACCCCCAGTACTACCACCACAAAAAACAAACAAACAAACAAACAAAAACAAAAAAAACCCTCTGGAAAGCAGATACATTTTATTAAAGTGGGACACAACTGATACAATGTACATGGGCTCTCTGGCTTATTTCAGCAGAGCAAAACAGGGTTCACAGGAGGCTCCTGAGCTCAAGGGTTCTACAACTATGTCTGTTCCCTGTGACTACAATGTAAGGATTTTACATCCACCTGATCAAAACCCTTCCCAGAGGCAGGGACAGGGTGTGTGGGCACACCCAATCACTGATGACAGCATCCTTCCTGGTCTCATTTCCAGTCAATCTTTTATCCCTCAAATCTCCTGACATCCAGGAATTTTCTCCTACTCTGGCCAGGAGCATGCTGTTGCTAAGCAAACCGGACAAGTCACATCTAAAGATACTCTCCACACTGTCTACACAGGGGTGTGGTTAAAACAAACACAGTGACAAAGTCACTTCAAGTTATAACTAGGAGATGCTAAAGATAGGTTGCAGAGAACTTCTGAAAAACTGTGTGTGTTATGCATGCACGCTGACACAAGACTATGTCTGATTTTGTGACAGGTTTTAATCATCTTCACTGAAACCCAGCATGTCTTGTAAGTCTGTGAAATGAAACTCCCAGCAAACCACATAGTGGTGGAGCCGCCCATGCAGGTCCCACACTCAAAGGGCTGATCTGCACATTATTTTTTTATTATAAAACTTTATGTAACAAAAAATTTAATATAAAAATGTGTATGAGTCAATTTTCAGTCATAGTGAAACTAGCACCTTCAAGAGGGGCATGCACATTCTGCTTTAAGATGTAACAAATACAGATAAGTTAAAAAAAAAAAAGGAGCATGGATTTGTCTACTGAAGTCAGTCCTTTTTTAAACTTGTTTCAAGTCTTCCAACATGATACTATTTCCTTGTTCCCACCACTCCAATATCGTTCTGTTGCCCACTAGCTGCCATCCCCACACATGCATCTATCACAGGGGTCATAAACAGATCAAATCCTCGCAATGTTCCTTGCACCTGTCTGCCACCGTTTAATTTCAGTAACTTCTTGTCCATAAATTTTTTCAGCTCGGGAGGGTGAGCTTTGCTCATCTTGTCTAATCCCTGAGCTCAGGGCTCCTCTTAAAGGGAATCTTTGGTCCCTGTCACACTCCATGGTAGGCTCAGGGCTTTGTCTTCCACAATATTTTTGATAGGTACAAAATCTTATAGTGGGGGGATGGAACCTACATTCACTGCTGTGATTGGACTGTCTGGAAAGATGGCTCTGGGGTTTCTTCTAGCTTTTAATCTCATCTCCTAACTGAGCATAAAACAGTTCATTGACATGTATGTATCTGTGTTTGAGTGCATATATCTATTTGACATCTTTTGCTCCTTTTTAAGTCAGTGATATAAAAGACACCCCCCCCCCCCCCCCACCCCCCCGCTTGCTGCCCTGTCAGCCAGAATTATGGCTACAGGACTTCTAAAACTCTTCTCAACGTTTCGTCTACTTGGGCGGCGGTGTTTGCACAGAGACCTTTGGCGTCATGTAACTCCCTACATGGTCAGGTAAGCATTAACTAGGGGTTTTATGCTCTCAGTGCTTTGGTAAAAGGAAAACGTCTGCAATTGGCAACACTTTCACGGTAAGTTCCACTCCAAACACTGCTGGGTTGTTAAGACTTTTCTTTCAGGATCAAGGAATGACAAGAGTGACACAAAAAGCACATGGCCCAAGGACTTGGCCAAGGGAAAAGAGATTAAAGAAGCAAAGTTGACATTTATTGCAGAATACCCCCTTGCTTGATCCTCCAGGCTCTGGGCTCTGACACTGGCTGGGCACAGAGATACTTGTTAGCCTCCCCACCAATTTTCCCAACGGGTCAAATCACGCAAGCTACCGACCCCCTTCTTGCTCCTCAGCAAGTGCTTAAGCTGGAAGAAGTCCGAGTAGGTTCTGCAGGGTCAGCATGGCTGGCCTATAACTAACGGGACTGGAAAGCTTACATTTGTCTTAATACCAAAAAGTACAGCGAGGAGAGTACGACGCAGAGGGTGGGAAGCCGGAGCCCCGAACTTGGAGCGGGGCAAACAAAGTCGGCAAACAACTACCCCGACTCCACAAGTACCAAACGGAAGCGAGGGCCAGGCGAGGTAAGGCCGAAACAAGCAGGGCAGACCCTTTACCTCCAGCGACACCACGGGGTGCGACCCAAACCGCTCTTTTATTTCCAATTTCCAGGACAACCCACCTTGGGGCCCGGCGCGGAAGCGGCCCCAAGAAAAGGGCCGACTCCCGACAGCACTGCCACCGCGACGCTTGCCCGCCTCTGAACCCTGATCGCAGCCACCGAAGCTGACCCGCGGGCTGGGCTCCCCCGGGAGGACGCTCTCGGCCCGGGGCCCAGCCTCTCGCAGGTCCCGGCCCGGTGCAGCTCCAGTGTCACCTCCCCCGCAACCCCCGCTTCCACCCCGTCCCCACCGCCTTACCTCTGGCGGGAGCCGGCCGCGGCTACGGGCGGCGTCGTGGGGCTCAGTGCATCCTGGGGGAGCAAGGAGCTGAGACGCGAGACTACTCGCAGTCCCAAACGCCTTATGTAACAGGCCGGGGCCGCAGCCGGGACGGAGGCGGTGGCCCACTGCACTTCCGCCTCCCGCGCCCCACCGGCGGCACAGTCCGGAAGCCCATTGGCCGCCGCCCCACCGTACGCCGCCAGGCATGACGCCTCTGCCACCATCTTAGAAATGGGCAAGCATCGCCAAGTGGCTGGGGTCTCCCCAGCACGAGACCCGCGAGCTAGCGCAAAGGGAAGGATCGCCAGCTGTGGGCTCTCAATAGATGCAGGCCGACGTCCGCGGGCCCTTGGTCCCGCGTATGGGGCATAAGAAGGCTGCTGCTCGCGGCCACCACTTCCCTATCTCACACTGGTTACTGGACGTGGGCGCCGCTATTGCAGACGTGACAACACAAAGCTTCAACGAGCGGTCCTGATCCAAAAATCAAGGCTGCCGCCAGCTCAGCCCCGCGGCCCTACACGCCTGCGCTGACAGTAGGGGCCAGGAGGTTGGGGTGGCCACTGCACAATAGGCAGGTGACAGTTCTCCTGAGGTTGGGGGAGCGTTCTATATCAAAGGATCTGCAATTTGTGAGTAGGGAATCTGTGTCGGGAAGAAATTTAAAAACAGAAATGTATTCTTTGCTTTCAAATAACTATAAGGATTCACATAATTAAAGGCTGAAGAATCTGCCTACAGTCAAGAAAATTGCTTGCTCTCCATTTCTTTCTGCCTTTTTCAACTTGTTAGAATATGGATGATGAATGCAAGAGGGAAAACCTTACCTGGGTCCTTGCTACTCACTGTGCGCTGTGATTCAGCATCAGCTGGGGACTTTTAAGAACGCAGAATTTTGGCCAGGTGAGTTAGTACACCCCTATAATCCTGGCATTCTCGGGGGCTGAGACAGGAGGATCCCCACTTCCATCCTAACCGGGGCAATTCAGCGACTTAGTGAGATTGTTTCAAAATAAAAAATAAATAAAAGAGCTCAGAAAGTAGGTCAGTGTGAAAGCCCAGAGTTCAACCCCCAGTCCAGGGTACATGTGGGGAGAGACAGGATCTCAGGACCCATCCATATTGACTGAATCAGAATTTGCATTTAACTTTAAAACTGGCACTCAAGAGGATCCCCAGATAAAGTGTAAGCACATTAAAGTTTGAGAAGCACTCCCAAGGACTAGGTGATGGCAAAGTAAGGAATTCTGTTGTTTCCAGGGTTCTACATACAGCGCTATGAGATGAACTGGCTAAGAAGGGCACATACACCCAGCCCAACTTCAAAAATACTTTTAAAACACAAATGAAGAAGTTACTCTTTCCTCAGGGCTTCCCATACACCACCTACAGTGGTACAAGATCTCATTTATGATCAGGAAAGGGCACCATGTGTCACTACAGGGATATTCAAAGTAGTCATCCTCTAAAATAAATTTCACCCCATCTCCTGTTCCAAAGTGGTTTCTCATTGGTTTAATTAGTTCAGGTCATCCTTTTCTCATGTGGCTCAGTGATTAGCTCAGATGACCCAGCAGAAGCAAGAGAAGGAGGGGCATCTGCTGGTCACCAGGACTGGTTCAAGGATGATCCAGTCAGCTCAAAGGACAGTACTGATGGGTCCTCTAAGCTTCTGCCTTCCTGGTTTCACTCTCTCTGCAGTGTTTTGATATATTCCACTTGATCCTATAGGCTACTAGCTTTGAGATTACTATCCTCTCTTTCTGAAATGAAAGGTTTGCTACAGCTGAAACTCCTCCAATTGCAGAACTTGGGCAAAACTGTCATGTCTCTCCTCCACGCCTGTTTCTCCAGGAGCTCTTGTTCTGAGAGTTGTGTTTCTTTTCCCGCTGGTTCTAAGTGTTTTATCATGCATATTATTGTTTCTCTCTTGACAGCTCATAACCTGTTCACCCTCTAGCCTCAGATAAGCAGAGTGATACCTAAAGGCACTAACAGTGGTAAAAGGCCAGGAATTTCCTATAGTTTGGCCACACACCAAGCTGGCCTTTGAAGGAAAGCCTTCAATTCCTGTCTTCTCAGCTGAACAACTATTTGGTTTTTTTGTGTGTGTTTTTTTTTGGGTACCGGAAATCGAACTCAAGACCTTGCGCTTGCCAGGCAGGCGCTGTGCTGCTGAGCTAAATCCCCAGCCCCTCAGCTGAACAACTGTATTAGTCAGCTTTCTCACTGCTAGACACAGTACCTGACACCCATAACTTAAAGAGAGAGAAGTTTAATTTGGCTCATGTTTTAAGAGGATTCAGTCAATCGTCAACTGGCAGCAAGGCAAGAACATCACAGTGCGACAGAGTAAACCTGCTTAGCTCATGGAGCTCAGGAAGCAGAGTAGCAACTAGTGCCAGAGAGGAAGGGACCAGGACTCAGACACAGATCTCAAGCCCAAGCCTTTTAACCCACCCAGAAACACCTAGAAGTTTGCTCCACCAAGCCATTGATGGATGGATGGATCTGAAAGCTAATCAAACTGACAGTACCCAAACCTCCACAACCCTCTCCCAACTCTGGAGATAGGGATATACTCAGGCTATTCTGGCCCAGGGAGAGCAGCAAGTATTATTACACGGACAGGCTCTGCCCTTCCTTTTTGAAGTTCCAAGAATTTCCAAAGCCAAGATCTCTCCAGAAATCTAGGCATTTTAATGTTTACTTGAGGCCCTTCCTCATCATTGAGGGTGTTTTGGTTTTTGCTTGATGAGGATAAAATTCAGCTACTCATTGAGCTACATCCCTACACTTTTTTGAAGGGGATACAGGGTCTGACTAAGTTGTCCAAGCTGGCCTCACAGTGACCCTCCTTGCCTCAGCCTGCTAAGTAGCTGGCATTACAGGCATGCACCACTGTGCCCAGCTATTTATCCTCCTGTACATGTGGCTTGCTGGGAGCTGCAGTTTAGTGCAGCTGCTGCTACCCAACATCTCAAGAGTATTATACTAAATTCTGCTAGCCTGGGAAAAGACTAAATTCTGGTTTCCACTGAGTGGGTATTGCTTTTGCATCACTGTAAAGCCAAAATGTTCTTAAGTGAAACCATGGTGAATTAGGGGCACCATCTGCACTTCCTCAAGAAAAATTCCTAGAATGTTAGTTAAAATTATTTTTAATTAACCACATTTTAACTTTGGGGGAAAAACAACCCAGACTGTTTGTCAGAAAGATTTTACCATTGTGTTCTCATGCTAAGAGTGCAAGGACTTTATAGCTGCTGCAAATGGCCCACACCCTCACCAAAATGAGGTAAAATTCTTTACCTCACTGTAATCCAAGTGAAAAAGATTATTATTTTCATATGCACTTCTTATGCTTGAGGCCATAATGTACTAAAAGGACTTGAGGTAGTCCTTTCAGTACATTTTTTCAATTTTTGTGAAATTATTTATATTTCCTCTTTACATAATGAGTTTTTTACACAAATGTGTCCAACGAGATTTTTTTTGAGACACAGTCTCACTCACTATGTAACCCAGGCTGGCCTTGAACTCATGGCTATCTTCCTACCTCAGCCTCCCAAGTACTGGGATTACAGGCATGCACCATCATGCCTGACTCCAGCAAGATATTTTGTTTGGATTTAACTTGGGGAGATTTTTCTGACATTAAAATGTTTTAGAAATACTTCATACCTGTGGTAAATTTAAAAAAGAAGGATACGTAGTGAAAATAAGCATCCTAGCCACCTGTAACCCCAATACTCGGGAGACTGAGGCAGGAGGATTGCTGTGATTCGAGTCTAGCCTGGGCTACACAGTGAGTTCTTCCTTTTTTTTTTTTTTTTGGTACCAGGAATCGAATTCAGGACTTTATGCTTGCCAGGCAGGTGCTTATGCCACTGAGCTATATCCCGGCTACACAGTGAGTTCAAGGCCAGCCTGAACTACACAGCAAGAACCTGTCTCCAATAAACAAACGAACAATAAGAGAAATAACTTTCCCTCCCTGATTCTAAGTACCAGAGGTTTCCAGGTAACCCCTGTTTACCATTTTTTTCCCTAGTATCCTTCAAGAGATATTATTTACATGGACAAGCACTGTATTTTTATAAATAAAAAGCACGTGTGAGATGAAGGCCAAGCTTTGAAACTGAATTCTTTTCTCCTTCCTTCTGTCCTCATTTAGAGGCCTGGCACCACGAACACAAATAGTGACAAGGACACACACTGTCTTGGACATGTGTGATTATGGTTTGTACAACAATGCATTTGTTGTACAAACAACGGAACTTCTAGAATGGAATATGGGTGGACGCATATTTGGTGAAGTGCCCACTATATTCTAAACACTGTGTGGTAGTCCTTTCAGTACATTTTTAAAAATTTTTTAATTTATTTTTTATTTTTTGACTTTTTGAGACAGGGTCTCCCTATGCAGTTCAGGCTGGCCTTGAGCTCACTTTGTAGCCCAGGCTGGTCTTGAACCCGCAACAATCCTCCTGCCTTAGCCTCCTGAGTACTGAGATTACAGGCATGCGCCACCACGCCCGGCCTAGTACATTTTCTCTTATTTCCTCTATAACCCTAAAAGTTAGGTATTGCTCTACCCATTTTACAATATGACACCCACCCAAGGGTGTTACTGTATGCAGAATGAAGCTCCTCTCCCCAGGGGCAGCCCTGAGTGCCCACTATGAAAGATGAAAGCCAAGAAGCAACAACAAAAAACCTGATTGATCAGCAAAACAAACTAGTTCATCATTAAAAGCCATGAGTCCTTCACTTGGATCACAATTTTCCTGAATTACCCAGGAGGAAAGCCATGAGTTTTCAAGAGCAGTCTTTACAGGGAGACCTCTGAAAACATCTTTTTTTTTCTGGTACCGGCAATCGAACTCACGACCTTGTGCTGGCCAGGCAGGCGCTGTGCCGCTGAGCTAAATCCCCAGCCCCTCTGAAAACATCTTTTTCACAGTCCTGGAAATCATGAAGAAGCCACTTCATGGGAAGCTCTGTGGATTGTCAGCTTGTTGACCAGTATCCGCCTTGCCTAAGTGGACTTTGCACCACCCTGGATCATTCCCCGGGGAGCTGAAAGGTTTCACCAGACTGGCATGAGTTGGAATAAACTGTCCAGACTCATGGTTCTATGGGGTTTGTTAATATCTGCACGGATCCAAACCAGGACACTAGGAACAAAAATATTTTGCTTTCAAAGAAATTCTCTTTTGGTGTGAAATGATTCAAGGGTATAAACTGGACCACCCAGGATGATACTGCTTCCTGCAATAAGAACCAAAGCAGAGGTGGAAGAGGATGACTTTGTGGCCACATAGCTCCTATCAGGGCAGTACAACAGAGGGTCTGTTTCTCTACTAATACTCTCACAGTGTACCCTGAGACTGGGCTTACCAATCAGACTCACAAAGGACTGATGCTTAAACAAGATGTTTATTTGCTTACAGAGTGACTGGAATATTCATATTCCTGTTTTGCTTAACAAAAGAATATAATCATTTACTCTCCTACCAAGTAAGTGAAAACCTTTGCTTTACTAAGTTCTTATTACTCAGTGCTATAATTTTTAAATGACTTGCAGGTCATAAACGGCTTTCACATAATTAAGTTTACTCTGACTGTTAGGGCATTGTTTCCAACAGACAGAGAAGGTTTGACACCCTCTGTGTAACTCTTCTCCCCTCTCAGGCTGGCTCCATGCCTCATCCTTCGAGGTTCAACTTTTCTGTACAGTGCAGGGCAGGAAGAGGCACGGCACTGGCCATTTTACCTCTGCAACTCCTAGGCCAGTAAATCTCAGACATTTAAACCCTGATCTCCGAAGTCTTAATCTGATATGTCCTTTGGGGGAAGAATTATGTAAGCGTGTAGTCCTCTATTTTATTATCCAGTGCACTGTTTCTTTTCTGTTCTCATTGTGTCTAATCCTAACCCTCCAAGAGTCTCTCACTGAAACTTGTATTTTGTAAGAATCAATCGGTACCACAAGGTCCACAATTCTTCACTGAAAACCAATTTGGCTGGAACTGACACATAGTAAAGCCCGTTTTAGTGGCATTAACTTGTTGCAGGTACATTTTAGAGTTCAGGTCCTCTTTCTCCTGAAGAGACACTTATTCAGCTAGAGGTGAAACTAGCTTTAAATCTGAGTGTCTCTTGTCTTTGGTGAAAGTACAATGTGTCCATGCAAGATGCAGCCACAATTCCCTCAATAAGAGACTGGAGATCAGTAAATACCAGTTCTTTAATTTGCTCAACCTCTCATGGAAGCTGGGAGAAGATAATCTTATTTACCTAGGCCTCAATATATAGTAGGCTTTTGGTTCTTCTTGCGCATATATGCTTCAAATTGTTTCTATCATTCTCCTGCTGTCCTTGAAGCACCATTCTCCTTCATCTGGGACCCTCAAGTAGCTCTTCTGTAACCCTTTTCCACAATGACTGCTGCTTAGCTGTTAACAGAGACTACCTGAAATACAGTTATCTGACTTTTTCTATTTTCTTTTTCCCACTTCCAACAGAGCTTTGATTTTTGTGTAGTATACAGCCAGGGAAGGCTATAGGTCCTTATGAAGCATGGTGGGCTAACCGCTATTACCACAGTCTTTCGTTTTGATAATGACTGGTTTGGGATGAGTACACGACACAGTACATGTCTGCACGTATTATACTGATGCCACTGTCACTTTCAACAAATTGTTATGGCTGAGGAAGAAGTAACATGACGGTGTTGGGCTTTGATTGTGTCACTGAGCCACTGAATCAACCAAGTGCCCTATCTTTGAACACTATCCTTTTTTTGTTTTTCTGTTACAGCTGAAACTATCCTATCTGTTATTTCACCAAACCCAACTACTACTCAATTCTCGTAATACTGTTTTATTAACCATACAACCATTCCCCAAGTAAAATAATAAGTTGAAAGGTATTCAGAAATTTGACGGAATCTATTATCTTTGTCTTTTCTCGTCCTCCCTTATGCCTTCATTAACTGAAAATTCCTTTCACTTTGACATTATCTTTTAAATTATGGAGGAGAGGCATTCTGATCTCTTTGTACCTTTAAAAATTGACCCCATCACCCAAGCAATTTGTGGCAGTTTTCTAATTCCCAATCTTTACACCACAGCACCCAATGTCTGTAACATGGGGCACATGTGTCACTGGAGAAGGGCAAATGTGAGGTGACCAACGTCTTGCGACGCAAACCAATGCTTCTACTCCCGCTTGAGGTCCGCTGTGGTTCCGAGTATCCGTTCAGCCTTCGTAAGCGGGCACAAAGCACCACACCCTAGAATGTTTTGGGTCGGAAACGAGACCCAACTAGATCGGAACCTTATGAGGGCAGAATGACACCCCTTCACATTCCATCCCATAATTTAAGGCAGCGGCCGCTCAGGCCGAGGTCCAGCCCCGCATCCCTGGCCTCTCACGCACCTAACCCTGGAGACACACGTTTCAGACCCGCCAGCCCCCACTCGATACTACCCCGACCCGTTACCGACTCTCTTTTGAGTTCCAGAGTCTGTCTTCTTGTTCTCTTTTTTGTCAGAAACATCACGTCTTCCAGAGTCTCCCTAACGCTGCACTTGAGCAGGTCAATAGGACTGATCTCTCCGAGGAGACCCCGTGGGCGGAGCCGGAAATACTTGGTGGTAGAAAGGCAGGAGCACCTCCTTCCCGCAGCTGCCCGGCGTACCGGTCCTCGGTTCAGTTGCTGGATTGGTCTATTGAGAAGAGGGTCAGCCCCCTGGGGGCCCGCCGGCCAATCAGAGTGCAGCGAGAAAAGGCCGCGGCGGCTGGGGAGCAGAGCTTCCGGCGGCTTCCCTGCGGCCCGTGCGTGGGGAGCATGGGAGCGTGGGAGTTTGGCGGCGGCGGAGGCGGCCGTTATCGCCTCTCGATTGGGCGCCGTTTGGTGTCACACCTGCCCGGGTAGAGCGGGGCTCTCGTTACTCCTGCAGCCGTAAGTGGGCGCCCTTCGGGGATGAGCTGAAGAGGAGCTTTCGGTTCAGGTTTTCAAAGGGGCTCGAGAGTAGTGAGGAAGGCTCGGGTACTCCGAGGGATTTAGGGAGGTTCGGGGTAGACCAAGGACTTTTCTTTCCCCCGGCAGTTCTGTCTAGACATTCCTATGGCGACTTGAAGACGGTCTCCTCACACCCGCGATGGCGTCCACGCTCGCGACCCCCGGCCCCCAGGTGAGACGAGGTGCCTTTTCCCGGTGTACGGTGTGTGGCTGTTCTCCGGCCTCGGCTGGACGACCGCGGAGGGGGGTTGAACCCAGCTGTCGCGACGCGAGTGTGCTTGGTACCCGGTACCCGGTATGCCCGGTGTCTTTGTCCTCAGAAGTGGTTTTTCCTCTTTTCAAAACCACAGCCGGGGAACAGAGTCTTCGTGAGGGGTCGGTAACAGTTTCCCAAATTGTCTTTCTGGAGTGCTTCTCAAAATTCCACATTTCTAGTCTTCACACCTGTTGGGTAATAATGATAACAAAGCCCAGGTGATTCTTAGTCACACCACAGTCCCGTTAAAGAACCAGTAAACTTAGGGAAGGAGGATTCTCGGGGCAGAGCTGAGCAGCGAGTCTCACGGCGAAGAGACAGAACGGGCAGGGAAAGATGGTGGGAGAACCCTGGAACTTCTCTTTCATGATTTTTCCTCCTTTCACTCGGAGCATCCTTACTTAATGGTTACCCGCCCCTGAGAATCTTCATCTTTTCTCTTCCGGGGAAGATGCCATTCTCACAGCATACTGTCTTGATCCTTTTACCACTGCCTCAAAACTTACGTCCATGTTTACTCTCTCCTTCCTGAACCCAGCCCTAGAACCTGTTTGTACCCTACCCCAACACTAAGGAACTTTTCTCTGAGCCTTTTGGTCCCTTGTATCTGATGTTTTTAGCTCTTTCAGCCTTCCCAGACCGAGGGACAGATTGACTCATTAACTTCTTGTTACTGAGATGGCCTCTCATGTTGTTTCAGGAACCAATACTGTTTGACGATCTGGCTGTGTATTTTTCTCAAGAGGAATGTGTAGGTCTGCACCCTGCCCAGAGGTCCCTTAGCAGAGAGGCCACACAGGAGTGTTCTCAGGATGTGGCCTTGATGGGTAAGGCAGTTTTTCCTGCATTTTTGAACTTTCATCAGTTTTAGGAGGATCTAATGTCTTGTTCACATGTTGTTATGGTGAGGCGGGACCTATTCCTGGGCAATTTACAAGAGATCAAAATATAAGTAATGTTTACATTTTAAGAATTCATGGGCTGGGGATTTAGCTCAGCGGCAAAGCGTCTGCCTGGCAAGCGCAAGGTCGTGAGTTCGGTTCCCGGTACCGGAGAAAAACCAAAAAAAAAAAAGAATTCATTGCAAGGCTGCGTGTGGTAGTGC